GCTGTCCGAAGACGTCTCGGTGGTCATGGGGCCGGCATGACTCAACGCCGAAGGCGCACGGAACGCTGTTCCCTTCCCAACAAAGGGGGTCCCCTATTTTTCTACTTACATTTTTTTTACGTGCTTTCGAACTGCTAGGTTGGCAGAAGCTGGGAGACAAGTAACGGGAGCTCACTCCATTACGCGGCGCTTAGGGATTCGAACCGCCGACGTTTCTGATCGACAAACTCAGCATCTTAGCCACTGAGCCCCCAAATCCCACTTCCTATAGCAGTTGGCAATTCCTCATTTAGTAACTCGGATATTCACCAAGCGTTTCTGTTCACGCATATGAATAGAATTGAAATGGATTTGTGCTAGTATGAGTTAAATTCAGGGCTGGGGGATTCCGAAATCGAAAGCAGTCCAATGACCAAATGGATGGTTTCACAGCCAAGTCTTTTTTTTTTCCTTTATCAGTTTGAAAGAAGCAGTAAAATTACTCATGCGTACAAAAACTATAAAATTTAACTGCACTGGGTATATTTCGTAACTTTTACCTTCCTTGTAGGACTTTTAAAGTCCCATAAACATTCCTGAATTATAGAATGATCTGGAAGAGAATGTGAAAGATTTTTATAGCTAAATAGATCTAAATCAGGGGCGTCAACTTCAATTTCAGGAAAGGCCGCATCAGGGTTGTGTTTGACTTCTGGAAGGGCTGAGGTGGGTGTGGCCACCATGACATCACTTGTGGGGGCACACCTGTGGGGGCCCAAACACACTGCCAGCAAAAACGGGCTCCTGAGCTGCGTTTTCAGCTGCAACGGCCTCCTGCAACCGTCTGCCAGTGAAAGCGGAGCTCAGGGCGGCCATGCCCAGTGCTCATGAGCTCCGTTTTCAGCTGGGACGGTTTCCTGCAACCGTCTGCCAGCGAAAATGGAACTTGGGAGGGTTGCACACAGCCCTCGCAAGCTCCGTTTTCACTGGCAGAGGCATCGTGGACTGGTCAATTGCTATTTCTAGGGTGGCCCGTGGGCCGGATTTAAGCACCCAGTGGGCCGGATCCGGCCCCCAGAGCCTTGAGTTTGACACCCCTGATCTAATTGATTCAAAGAGGTATCTTTCCATTTGAGCACCAACCTCTGCAGATTTCATTGTTGTACTTGAGCCTTTCTGCTTTCCAAACTACATCGGTAATCTTCCTTTCTCAACACATTGTTTTCAAAAGTACCATATATTCCGTCGTATAAGGCGACTGGGCATATGAGGCAACCCCATACTTTCAGGTACCCACGAGCTGAGTGAAGGCCTCCGAGCTGCCGGGCTTTCGTAGTTTGAGCTCAGCGCTTCCTCCTCCAGAACACCAGCCAGACCTTACTAAGCCATCCCAGCACTCATCCATCCACGTGCCCAGGCGAGGAGCGCCGAGTTATCAATTAAAAATCCGGCATCTGTGCTGGTGGCGGTGCGTTTTTTTGCTTGGTGGCATTGCTTTTTCTTTTGTTTTGATTTTTAGGGTATGGCCTCTCTTACACCCGGCGTATAAGACAACCCCCGATTTTTGAAATATTTTTTTGGGTTTAAAAAGTCATCTTATACACCAGAAAATACGGTAAATGTGGCATTCAATAATCTCGGAAGCGCTCGATGGCTAATACTCAATTTTTGCACTGTTGGAAGCTTTTGACACTGTAAACCAAAATTAAAGTGCCGTAACCACTTACAAAAGGATTGTATATTTAGCTGTAGGTGTTTCAGTTACACCCTTCCATTTAAGGGAAGTTATTGGGCAGTATGCAAAGATAATAATAACCACTTTGTTCCTGTACATAACAAGATTTCAAATTGGGAACAAGACACATCACCTCTATCGTTTTCTCAATAATCATCTGAGGATCATCCATTTTCGCCATTATGAAAACGTTAACCTGCATTTGAACCAATCTGAACACTCCATCTAGCCAAGTTTAAGTCACTCCCAATTTTTATGCTACTCCAAGTTTTGCTTTCTAATTTAAAAATAAAATAAAATGAGAATATTGGTTACCAGACAGCTATATATTCTTTATAAGCCCCTAGCTGATAACCGGGGTATTTATTCATAAGAGGGAAATGTCCGGACTAAACGTACTTTCTAATGTTGGATTTTCCCCCTTACCAGAGGGAGCCTCCTTGGGAAGTATTATGAAGCCGTTACCATAGCAACTCCACTCCACTGTGCAGTAGAAGCCGTTTTAAGGCACAACAGGCTGTATCTTAACAGAACGCACACACCCACAGTATTTTTCCCCGAGCGTAAGTCATCTGTGTACCAAGTTTGGTTGAAATTGCTCAAGGTGTTCCAGAGTTATGCTGGTGCGCACGCACACACGCGCACACACAAACACACACACACACACCAGAGCCATTTTTATATATATAGAAGATTCAGCTAAGCAGAGAATAGATATTTTCATGCCATTAACGAAAGAAGCTCGTAAAGATGAAGGAACTTTTTTTCCCCCTACCTTGGTAAGCAAGAAATTTAACCACAACGGATGAGTATCGATCTTCCAACTCTCTCTTCGGAAAAAGGCCTAGCTGCTGAAAATTGTTTTGAAGAAAACAATTTTTGAAGGAATGGATAACACTGTTGGCCGGAGGAATTTGGAAACAGGCAATCTTAGAAAGTCTGGTGCTCTGCTCAAGAGAAAGAGTGCGACCAATGCCCAGCCTGTGGAAGAGCTGACTTTTAAGTCAGCTCTAGTCATGTTTCAAGATTAACTGAGAAATGAAACTCTTTCTTGGAGTTACTAACTTCCTGTTAAGAGAGGAGACGGAACGAATTCCAGGGAAGGGGTGTATTAGTAACACCATTGCCTGATCTGACCCCTGCAATAAATCCAAGGAGACACTTTCTTGCCCAAATACAACAGGAAAAGGCTGCCATCTGCTGGGCTGCTGATCATCTAGAGACAGGAGTATCCAACACTGGCAACACAGGGTCTTAAAAATGCCAAGTTTGGATACCTCTAACCTTAGATAAAAGGGATGCCGTGGTTCAGGGGCTAAGACACTGAGCTTGTCGAT